AAAAAAAAAAAAAGACAAAGAAAAAAAAATCTTAACAACTATGAGACAGAAGCACTGGGTAACCTATAAGGGAAAACCTATCAGCTTACCAGCAGATTTCTCAGCAGAAACCCTACAAGTTAGAAAGGATTGGGGCCCCATCTTCAGCTTTCTCAAACAAAACGATGAGCAGCCAAGAATTTTGCATCGAGGGAAACTAAGCACCACATATGAAGGAAAGATACAGTCATTTTCAGAAAAACAAATGCTGAGAGAATTCACCATTACCAAGCCCCCACTATAAAAACTGCAAAAAGAAGTTCTAAATCTTGAAAAAAAAAAAAAAAAAAAGGGGAAACACATCCAAACAGAATCTCTTGAAAGCATAAATCAAACAAGACACACACACACACACACACACACACACACACACACACACATATAAAATACAAGTTAAAAAAACAAAAATAAACAACAACAACAACAAAGACTGGGCATGGTGGCTCATGCCTGTAATCCCAACACTTTGTGAGGCCAAGGTAGGCAGATCATAAGGTCAGGAGTTTGAGACTAGCCTGGCCAATATAGTAAAACCCTGTTTTGACTAAATATATACAAAAATTAGCCAGGCGTGGTGGTGGATGCCTGTAGTCCCAGCTATTCAAGAGGCTGAAGCAGGAGAATTACTTGAACTTGGGAGGCGGAAGTTGCAATGAGCCGAGATTGTGCCACTGCACTCCAGCCTGGGCAACAGAGCAAGACTCCAACTTAAAAAAAAAAAGTATGCAGGCTATGCAGGCAACAAAGGGCATGATGAATGCAATTGTACCTCACGTTTCAATACTAACATTAAATGTAAATGGCCTAAATGCTCCACTTAAAAGACACAAAACTTCAGAATGGATAAGAACTTACAAATCGGCCGGGCGCGGTGGCTCACGCCTGTAATCCCAGCACTTTGGGAGGCCGAGGCGGGTGGATCATGAGGTCAAGAGATCGAGACCATCCTGGTCAACATGGTGAAACCCCGTCTCTACTAAAAATACAAAACATTAGCTGGGCATGGTGGCGCGTGTCTGTAATCCCAGCTACTCAGGAGGTTGAGGCAGGAGAATTGCCTGAACCCAGGAGGCGGAGGTTGCGGTGAGCCAAGATCGCGCCATTGCACTCCAGCCTGGGTAACAAGAGCGAAACTCCGTCTCAAAAAAAAAAAAAAAAAAAAAAAAACAACTTACAAATCAACTATCTGCTGACTTCAGGTGAGTCACCTAACACGTCACCTTAACTTAAAGCGGTGGAAAAAGGCATTTTATGCAAATGGACACCAAAAGCAAACAGGGGTAGCTATTCTTATACCAGACAAAACAAGCTTTAAAGCAACTGTGGTTAAAAGAGACAAAGAGGGACATTATATAATGGTAGCTGGTCTGGTGCAACAGGAAAGCATCACAGTCCAAAACCTATATGGTCCTAACACTGGCACTCCCAAATGTATAAAACAATGACTAATAGACCTAAGAAATGAGGTAGACAGCAACACTGGTGTGGGACTTCAACACTCCTCTGGGAGAACTAGACAGGTTGTCAAGACAGAAAGTCAACAAAGAAATAATGATTTAAACCATACCCTGGAACAAATGGACTTAACAGATATATACAAAATATTTCATCCAAAAACCACAGAAAACATATTCTACTCAATAGCACATGGAACTCTCTGCAAGGTAGACTACATGATAGGCCATAAAGAGAGCCTCACTAAATTTGGAAAAATTGAAAATATATCAAGCACTTTTTTAGACCACAGTGGAAAAAAACTGCAAATCAACTCCCAAAGGAACATTCAAAATCACAGAAATACATGGGAATTAAATAACCTGCTCCTGAATGAGCATTGGGTCAAAAACACAATCAATATGAAAATTTAAAAAATTCTTCAAACCGAATAACAATGAAAACCTCTGGGATACAGCTAAGGTGGTGCTAAGAGGAAAGTTTACAGTGTTGAATGCATACATCAAAAAGTCTGAAGGAGCACAAACAGACAATCTAAGGTCACATGTCAATAAGCTAGAGAAACAAAAACAAACCATACCCAAACCCAGCAGAAAAAAGGAAATAACCAAGATCAGATCAGAACTACTTACATGGAAACAAACAAACAAACAAATACAAAAAGTAAATTAAACAAAAACTGCTTCTTTAAAAAGATAAATAAAATAGACCATTGGCAAGATTAACCAAAAAGAAAGAAAATCCAAATAACCTCACTGAAAATGAAACAGGAGATATATTACCACTGACACCACTGAAATACAAAAAATCATTCAAGGCTACTATGAACACCTTTACAAACATAAACTAGAAAACCTAGAAGAGATGTATAAATTCCTGGAAGAATAAAATCCTCCTAGCTTAAATCAGGAAGACTTAGACACTCTAAACCAACAAATAACAAGCAGTAACATCAAAATGGTAATTTAAAAATTACCAACAAAAAAAAAGTCCAGGACCAGATGGATTCACAGCAGAATGTTACCAGACATTCAAATGAATTGTTACGAATCTTTCTGGCACTATTTCATAAAATAGAGAAAGAAGGAACCCTCCCTAATTCACAGTCCTGGAAGTCCTACTCAGAGCAATCAGACAAGAGAAAGAATTAAAGGCATCCAAATCAGTAAACAGGAAGTCAAACTGTTCTTGTTTGCTGATGATACAATCATTTACCTTGAAAACCCTAAGGACTCCTCCAGAAAACTTCTAGACCTGATAAAGAAATTCAGCAAAGTTTCTGGATATAAGATTAATGTACACAAATTAGTAGCTCTTCTATTCACCAACAGCAACCAAACAGAGAATTAAATCAATAACTCAACTCCTTTTACAATAGCTGAAAAAAAAAATACTTGGGAATATACCTAATGAAGAAGTCAGAAGACCTCTACAAGGAAAATTACAAAACACTTCTGAAATAAATCATAGATGACAAACAAATGGAAACACATTGCATGCTCAAGGATGGGTAGAATCAAAATCGTGAAAATGACCACACTGCCAAAAACAATCTACAAATTTAACACAATTCTCATCGAAATTCCACCATCATTCTTCACAGTCAAAAAAATAATTCTGAAATTTTTGTAAAACCAAAAAAGAGCCCACATAGCCAAAGGAGGCTAAACAAAAAGAACAAATCTGGAGACACCACACTACCTGGTTTGAAACTATAGCATAAGGTCATAGTCTCCAAAACAGCATGATACTGGTATAAAAATAGGCACATAGACCAGTGGAACAGACAACCCCAAAATAAACCCAAATACTTACAGCTAACCTATCTTCAACAAAGCAAACCAAAACATAAGGTGAGAAACAATAGCCTTTTCAACAAATGGTGCTGGGATAATTGGTTAGTCACATGTAGAAGAATGAAACTGGATCCTCATCTCTCACCTTATAAAAAAAAAAACTCAACTGAAGATGGATTAAGGACTTAAACCTAAGACCTGAAACGATAAAAATTCTGGAAGATAACACTGGAAAAACTCTTCTGGACATTGGCTAGGCAAAAATTTCATGATCAAAAACCCAAAAGCAAATGAAGTAAAAACAAGAATAGCTGGGACCTAATTAAACTAAAGAGCTTTTACATGGCCAAAGGAACAGTCAGCGGAACAAACAGACAACTTACAGAGTAGGAGAAAATCTTCACAATTATACATCTGACCAAGGACTAATATTCAGAATCCACAATGAACTCAAACAAATCAGGAAGAAAAAAAAAAATCCCATCAAAAAGTGGGCTAAAACATGAACAGACAGTTCTCAAAAGATACACAAATGGCTAACAAACATGAAAAAATGCTCAATATCACTAATGATCAGGGAAAGGCAAATCAAAACCCTAATGCAATACCACCTTATTCCTACAAGAATGATCATAATCAAAAGATCAAAAAACAGTAGATGGCGTGGACGCGGCGATCAGAAAAAACTTCTACACTGCTGGCGGAAATGTAAACTAGTACGGCCGCTATGGAAAAAAGTGTGAAGATTCCTTAAAGAACTAAAAGTAGAACTACCATTTGATCCAGCAATCCCACTACTGAGTATCTACCCAGAGGAAAATAAGTTATTATTTGAAAAAGATACCTGCACATCCATGTTTCTAGCAGCACAATTCACAACTGCAAAATTGTGGAACCAGCTGATATGCCCATCAATCAATGAGTGGATAAAGAAACTGTGATACATATCTATCTGTCTATCTATCTATATATCTACACACACACATATAAACATATTAAACATACATATAAACATATAAACATATATATACACACACATACATATAAAATATTTAAAAAATCAAAATATGTTAAAATACTACTGTATATATTGGAATGCTACTCGGCCATAAAATGGAATGAATTAACAGCGTTTGCAACGACCCGGATGAAACTGGAGATGAAACTATTACTGTTAAGTGAAGTAACTCAAGAATGGAAAACCAAACATACTATTTTCTCACTGATATGTGGGAGGTAAGCTATGAGGATGCAAAGGCATAAGAATGATACAATGGTCAGGCACAGTGGCTCAAGCCTGTAATCCCAGCACTTTGGGAGGCAGAGGCAGGTGGATCACAAGGTCAAGAGATCGAGACCATCCTGATCAACATGGTGAAACCCCGTCTCTACTAAAAATACAAAAAATGAGCTGGGCATGGTGGCGCGTGCCTGTAATCCCAGCTACTCAGGAGGCTGAGGCACGAGAATTGCCTGAATCCAGGAGACGGAGGTTGCGGTGAGCTGAGATAGCGCCATTGCACTCCAGCCTGGGTAACAAGAGCGAAACTCCATCTCAAAAAAAAAAAAAAAAAAAAAAAAAAGATACAATGGACTTTGGAGACTTGGGGGAAAGAGTGGGAAGGTGGAGGGATAAAAGACAACATATATGGTGCAGTGTATACTGCTCAGGAATGGGTTCATCAGGCTCTCACAAATCACCTCTAATAAACTTACTCATCTAACCAAATACCACTGTACCTCAATAACTTATGAAATAATACATTAAAAGATTATTCTCATAATTACAGACCAGCTCACATAATGAATATTTGATAAACTATTACACAGGCCAGGTGCAGTGACTCACGCCTGTAATCCCAGCTACTCAAAAGCTGAGGCAAGGGAATTGCTTGAATCTCGGAGGTGGAGGTTTCAGTGAGCCAACACTGTACCCCAGCCTGGGTGACAGAGCAAGACTCTGTCTCGAAACAAATAAACAAAAACTATGAAACAACAACAAAAAAAGAAAAGTATGGTTTAGCATGAGTACCAGTCAAGTTAAAAACAGAGAATTTGCATGGAGAGATTCCGAACCATTAGTCAAAAGATTGCACAGGAATACATTCAATACAAAGCAGAGAGGATAGATTTGTTTTCAGCATTTTTGAGAATTTTTGTTTTCCAGTAAATTAGACACCTCCTTAAAATGACTTATTTTGTTCTGATATTGCTTTTTTCTGCTAAAAATAATTTCAAACTTCTACTCACACAAACACACTTACTCCATAATTTATTTACACCTAAAGTTTATCTTTAGACTAACAGATGTGAATATTTAACTCTATATACATCAATACTAATAGTCCATATGTGCTTGCAGGCAGAGGACACATGTTCAAAGAAAAATATATTAAAATTTTTAAAAATATTTATTCAGGACTCAGAAATGTATGAATTTTTACTTATGTTTGAATATACTTTCCATTATGACCATAAAAATGACCCTGTAGTTAACAAAAATTTAATTGTACATTTAAAAATAACTAAAACTGTAGAATTGAATTGCTTGTAATACAAAGAATAAATGCTAGAGGTAATGGATACCTCACTTCCTCTAATGTAATTATTATATATTGTACGCCTGTATTACAATATACCATATACAGTGTAAATATATACACATATTATGTACCCACAAAAATTAAGAAACATAAATTTAAATGCAAAAATAAGAATAAAAATTTAACCTACAGAAACAATATTCTTTAAGTTTATTGGCACCTGAAAGCCACTGGCAAAAAAGGTTAATAGAGATGTCGGTCCATTATTTTATCTTATCTTATTTTTATACTAAAAATAGTATATTTTTACCATCTTTTACCTAGACCCTTGAGTAAGCTGGAATAGGTTAAAGTTAGTCGCATAGTAACACTTCAGTAAATTCATGATAGTATATAACATGTTTAAAATGTTGAAAAGTTCACACATAATTTATAATTTAAAAATATACTGCATACTCACAAAAGTACAGTAACACAACATACTACTAACTTAATTTTAACTAAATTTTTCAAAATAATGCAGAAGAATATTACTCTGAACACCAACCTCATGCATCACTCAATATTATAAGTTAACCACAAAGGGCCTATTTAAATTTTCATCATGCATCTTACATTTTAATGTCCTTACCTTTCCATAGAAAAGATAATGAATAATGCCTCATAAAAAAAAGAATCTCTCGTATTTTTATACAGCAACAATTAGTCACATGCTTTCCATGTGAATACATGAGGAATGATTAAACAGGATGAAGTAATTTGAGTTTAACTTCATTATTATTCACTTTTTAAAAATCCTGTATTTTCAAAAAAGGATACTTTGAATTATGACTCTCCAAACATTATTCTACTTCTTTAAAAATTATATAGAAATAATGTTCACACACATTTTAGTTTGTATGATTTTCTATACTCAGCACTCTGATTTAGTGCAATGTCTAGATAGTTCAACTGTAAATTATTCCCTGATATTTACATAAATGGAATTTTGGGTTGAATATTTTTTATACTGACTGCATCTGGAAATATATATTTTATTATAAACTCTTTAGTGTTTTTATAATTTGTAGTTTTTGAAAAACTGTTTTCCAAAATCTATCTACAGAGTTTTCTTCAATATAACTCTGTGATGTTGAGCAAAATTTTAACAACTGTCTCAGGGTTTTCCTCTAGTATAAAATGTATACAATAAGATCTGTGACACAAGTAAAGGTATTACAACCCTCTTCATATTTGTAATGCTTTTTCAAAATACTCCTTCGCACATTCAAGACAGATTTTCTGACAGATCTTTTGATACTAATTACACATTTAATACTTTTATTTAGCATGAACTCTCTGATTTTGAGTCAGATGTAAGCAGGTATTAATGGCTTTTTAACTTTGTCTATATCTGCACATTTGTTCTCAAGTATAAATTCTTTCCTGTGTAATAAGGTGTGAGCATTGGTTCGAAGCTTGGCCACACTGTTCACACTAGTAGTTTCCTCCAGTGTGAATTCCCTTACCTACAATCAAGTGTGAAACTCATTTAAAGGCTTTGTCATGTTCTTCACATTTCTAGGATTTCTCACCAGCATGATTTTCTTTACGTTTAGAAAAGTTTGAGTTCTTGTCAAAAGCATTGGCACATCTTTCAGGTTTATAGCATTCCTCTCCAGTATGAACAATCTTATGTCCATTAATAATGAAGGACTTTTTATAGGCTTTGCCATGTTATTCACACTTGTAAGATTTCTCTCCAATATGAGTTATCTTATCTGTAGTAAGATATGAGGACTGGTTAAAGGCTTTGCCAAATTTTTCCCATTTGTAGGGCTGCTCTCCAGTATGAATTTTCTTATGTTTAGTTAGGGCTGAGGACCAGGAAAAGGCTTTGCCACATTCTTCACATTTGTAGGGTTTCTCTCCAGTATGAATTATCTTATGTGTAGTAAGATTTGAGGATCGATTAAAAGCTTTGCCACATTCTTCACATTTGTAGGGTTTCTCTCCAGTGTGCATCCTCTTATGTGTAGTAAGGGTTGAGGATTGGCTAAATGCTTCACCACATTCTTCACACTTGTAGGGTTTCCCTCTAGTATGAATTCTCTTATGTTTAGTAAGGGTTGAGAAGCAGTTAAATGCTTTGCCACATTCTTCACACTTGTAAGGTTTCTCTCCAGTATGAATTATTTTATGTCTAGTAAGATTTGAGGACCGATTAAAAGCTTTGCCACATTCTTCACACTTGTAAGGTTTCTCTTCAGTATGAATTATCTTATGTTCAGTAAGGTTTGAGAATTGGCTAAAAGCTTTTCCACATTCTTCACATTTATAGGGTTTCTCTCCAGTATGAATTATCTTATGTGTAGTAAGAGTTGAGACCCATTTAAAAGCTTTGCCACATTTTTCACATGTGTATGGTTTCTCTCCAGTGTGCACCCTCTTATGTCTCGTTAGGGTTGAGGACCATATAAATGCTTTCCCACATTCTTCGCATTTGTAAGGTTTCTCTAAAGTGTGCATCTTTTTATGATTAGTTAGGGTTGAGGATAATATAAATGCTTTGCCACATTCTTCGCATTTGTACGGTTTCTCTCTAGTATGAATTCTCTTATGTTTAGTAAGGGTTGAGGACCATATAAAAGCTTTGCCACATTCTTCACACTTGTAAGGTTTCTCTCCGGTATGAATTATCTTATGTTTAGTAAGATTTGAGCATCGATGAAAAGCTTTGCCACATTCTTCACATTTGTATGGTTTTTCTCCAGTGTGCATTCTCTTATGTATAGTTAGGGTTGCGGAACATATAAATGCTTTGCCACATTCTTCACATTTGTATGGTTTCTCACCAGTATGAATTCTCTTATGTTCAATGAGGGTTGAGGACCATATAAAAGCTTTGCCACATTCTTCACATTTGTAAGGTTTCTGTCCGGTATGAATTATCTTATGTTTAATAAGATGTGAGCATAAACGAAAGGCTTTGCCACATTCTTCACACTTGTAGGGTTTCTCTCCAGTGTGCATCCTCTTATGTCTACTTAGGGTTGAGGAACATATAAATGCTTTGCCACATTCTTCACATTTGTAGGGTTTCTCTCTAGTATGAATTCTTTTATGTACAGTAAGGGCTGAGGACAATATAAATGCTTTGCCACATTCTTCACACTTATAAGGTTTCTCTCCAGTATGAATTCTCTTATGTACAGTAAGCGTTGAAGACCAGTTAAAATCTTTGCCACATTCCTTACATTTGTAGCGTTTCTCTCCACCATGAATTATTTTATGTGCAGTAAGGGTTGAGAGTTGCTTAAAAGATTTGCCACATTCTTCACATTTGTAGGGTTTCTCTTCAGTATAAATTTTCTTAAGATTAGTAAGGGTTAAGGACCAATTAAAGGTTTTTCCACATTCTTTACACTTGTGGGACTTCTTTGTTGTATAAATGCTTTTATGCAGGGTTTTGTGTGAAAGCATGCAAAATGATTTGACACATGTTTTGCATCTGAAAGGTTTCTTTCCAGTAGGTCTTACCTTATGTCTGTTTGAATTTAAAAATTTATTAAAAACTTTCAAATATTTACCACACTGAAATACTTTCTTCCGGGAAGTTGTGAAATACTGGTTAAGTCCATTATAACCTTCTTTGTGGGCCTTATACTCATTCACATTTGTACAGCTTTTTCCAAACTGTAAATTCTCATGTCCACATTTTTCATCTCTTCTGAGTATTACTTTTTGAAGAGAATCTTCCATGCCCTGCTCTGGCCAAAGGTGTTGAGCAAAATGAGGAAATATACCTGAAAAAAAATATTCCACTTACTAGACGCACATGAATATAGTTTAAAAATCTGACCTATAAAATTATACAAACTAAATTAACAAGATGGCATTGTAAAATACCACAGGCCCTAATTCTTTCATAGACATATAAACGTAACAAAAAGACAGATCAAAACACATCTGTGGAAAATTTATAAATGAGTTAATTGTGTGCAATGTCCCAGATGAGCACATTGCAAAAAACCGCATAAAAGAGAAAGAAAAAATCTGTTAAATGTACCCAACACAGCTTTTCCTGCTTCTCACTATAACACAGTGCCTTTAGAAGTAAATTGCCAAATCTGGTTTTTGTTTTAAAAGAAAGGTAAAATACTGGCACATTCACTGTCATTTCTGGCTTTTAGGGGCTTCTCCTGATACTAGTTTCTATCTCTCATGACATAAAGTGCTGAAAGAAATGGTAGTATACATTGGAATGACAGTTTGAGTCTGCTGAGACCAAAGAAAAATGTTACAGCAGCAGAGACTGCAGTACCACAGAAAGGGAACAAATGTAGAAAGTGATTACTGACTCCTACCAAGAAACATGAGTAAATGCTCTTAACTAAAAAAATAAACACAAAATTTCAGACAACACATATCTTAAAAACAAGTTTGAGAAATTCCCATAATCACAAGCCAAGACAATCTTTTTCAGACTATGTCAGAACAAAGCTACATATAATAATTTTTACAGGTAGCTTTTTATTAATGTCCAAATCTCAAAGATTATAATACATAAAAAATAGGGTAGGCCACGCACAGTGGTTCCTGCCTGTAATCCCAGTGCTTTGGGAGGATGAGGTGGGCAGATCAACTGAGGTTGGAAGTTTGAGACCAGCCTGACCAACGTGGAGAAACCTTATCTCTACAAAAAACACAAAATAAGACAGGCATGGTGGTGCATGCCTGTAATCCCAGGTACTTGGGAGGCTGAGGCAGGAGAATCTCTTGAGCTCGGGAAGTAGGGGTTGCAGTGAGAGATCAAGCCATTGCACTCCAGCCTGGGAAACAAGAGTGAAACTCCATCTCAAAAAAAACAAACAACAACAAAAATAGCACCATATGATCTCACCAAAAATATCATGAAATTTTCAGAAAAAGATGTACTGTATACATTAATTTTAAGAATTCATAATAAATTGAGTAATACTAATTAAATAGAAACAGAGACAACTATGGAAAATCAGAAAAATGAGGATAGAACAAGAATATTAAACATTTAAAAAAAAACCGTGGAGGTAAAAAATACAAAAGAAAACTGATAGACTCCAAAGTGAAAAAAAAAAAAAAAAAGACATACAAAGAAATTCAACAAACTAGGATCACAGAAAGATATTTATAACAAACACAAATACAAGCACAATTTCAACAGTCAGAGACAAAAAGATTATCTTTGAAGCTGCAAGATAAAAGTGATGTCTCAGGCCAGGCACAGTGGCTTATGCCTGTAATCCAGGCACTTTGGGAGGCCTAAGTGGGTGGATTACCTGATATAAGGGGTTCGAGACCAGCCTGGCCAACCTGGTGAAACCCCGTCTCTACTAAAACTACAAAAATTAGCCAGGTGTGGTGGTGCATGCCTGTAATCCTAGCTACTCAGGAGGCTGTGGCTAGAGAACCACTTGAACCTGGGAGGCAAAGGTTGCAGTGAGCTGGTTACACTCCAACATGGCTGGGGCATAGAGCGAGATGGCCTCAAAAAAAAAAAAAAAGTGATGTGCCATTTACAAACATAATCTTATGTGATAATCAATGAACTGTTAACAAGAATTTTGCGGGCTGTAAGGAAACTGTGTGATGTTGTGATAAAAAGAAGTTGTGAAAAAAAATAGCTATTAAGTGAGAATAATACCATCAATGAATCTATCTTGCCAAATAAAATAAAAATAAAAATAAAAGCCTTCCAAAGTAACCAAATTCTAAAAAAGTATATTGGAACCGTATATGCCCTACATATAAAGGATGCTGAAAATAGTTTCTTCTACTGAAAATAACATGATTTAAAAAACAACACATAATCATATAAAAATACACTATATTCTGGGGAAAATATGCAAATACACAAAAGTAGAATTTCTTAGCATTATCCTAGTGATGCAGAAAACATTTTTAATTATTCTCTGTAATTAGAAAGATAAAAGCATAGAAATCATTATAAACATCTGTTAATGAATATACAACACAAAAATATAATTAGCAACATCGATGACAAGTTTGAGGAAAGAAATAAAAAAATTTTGTATGCAACTTAAGTTCATTTTTTTACCAGATTAAAATATGTTGTTGTATTTTTTAGAGGTTATATGCAATCCCTAAGGTACCACGAAAATAGTTGTATAAGTACACAAAAGAGCCTGGGCATGGTGGTTCATGCCTGTAATCTCAGGACTTTGAGAGGCCAAGGTAGGCGGATCACAAGGTCAAGAGATCGAGACCATCCTGGCCAAGACGGTGAAACCCTATCTCTATGAAAAATACAAAAATTATCCAGGTGTGGGGGCACACATCTGTAGTCCCAGCTACTCAGGAAGCCGAGTCAGGAGAATCATTTCAATCCAGGAAGCCAAGGTTCCAGTGAGCTGAGATCCCACCACTGGACTCCAGCCTGGGTGACAGAATGAGACTCTGTCTTTAAAAAAAAAAAAAAAATTGTACGCAACTTAGTTTTTTTTGCTTTTTTTTTTGTTTTTACCAGATTAAAACATACTGTTGTATCTTTTAGAGGTTATATGTAATCCCCAAGATACCACAAAAATATTAGTATAAATACACAAAAGAGGCTGGGCTCAGTGGCTCACGCCTGTAACCCTCACATTTTGGGAGACCAAGGTGAGTGGATAACCCGAGGTCAGGAGTTCAAGAACAGTCTGGCCAACATGGTAAAACCCCATCTCTACTAAAAATACAAAAATTAGCCAGGTGTGGTGGTGGGTGCCTGTAATCATAGCTACTCAAGAAACTGAGGCAGGAGAATTGCTTGAAACCAAAAGGTAGAGGTTGCAGTAAGCTGAGATCGCCCCACTGCACTCCACACTGGGCAAAAGAGCAAAACTCCTTCTCAAAAAGAAAAGAAAAGAAATCTAATGACTAAAAAAGACTGGAAGTGGCAGGATAGAAGTAGACATTCCATGCAAACATTAGTTAAATGAGAGCAGAAACAGTCAAAACAATCTTACACAAGCTACATCTTAAGTCAAAAACTATAATATTTTATAAAATGTGCTTGAAATTGAAACTCCAAAGAAACAAAGAAGGACATCAAAAAATAATAGATTCATTCACTGGCAGCCTATGACAAATTTGTGTGTGTGTGTGTGTGTGTGTGTCACATTAGGGTTCCAAATATATATAGCAAATATTGACAGAATAGGAAAAACACATAAAAAGCAATATAATTATAGAAAGATATTTTAATACCACATTTTCTGTAATAAAAACAACACAAGAAAGAATGCTAATAAGGGGAAAGACTACTTAAAGGCAGTATAAAACAAGTATTCCAAACAGAGTTAGGGAGAACACTCCTCAACATCAGAATACACACCATTCTCAATAGCTCGTACATTTTCCTCTATAGACCACATCTCAGGCCAAAAAGAAAGTCTTACCAAAATTTTTAGAAGAAAAATTCTATGAATTACTTTCTATGACCAAAATGAAATGAGAGTATACAACAAGAGAACAAAACTGAAATATTTACAAACATATAGAAATTAAACAACACACTCCTGAGTGTGCTCTTATACAAAAGTTGAAGTAGTTAATCTTGTGAAGAAGTCCATCCTGCTCAATGTAATCTACAGATTTAATGCAATGTTTTTCAAATTTCTTATTGTATTTTTGAAGAAATAGAAACAGCAACACAAGAAGTATATAGAATCTCAAGAGACAATAAAGTACCCAACAATCTTCAACAACAACAACAACACAAAATGCTGAAGGCATTAACATTCTTAATTCAGAACACATTACGAAGCTACAGAAGTAGAACAATCTGATATGAATATAAAGGTAAAAAAGTAGACTAATAAAATACAGCACATATATACACTTTCACATAATTGGTCATATGATGAGTCACTTACTGATTGTTACTGTAAGCCAGTAGGTGAAAGCAATGCAAATTTTGTTCATCAAATTATTCAGCAGGTATAATTTGAAATATAAAAATTCTGAGGCTGAGCATGGTGGCTCACACTTGTAATCCCAGGACTTTGGAAGGCTGAGGCAGGTGGATCACCTGAGATTGGGAGTTCAAGACCAGCCTGACCAACATGGAAAATTAGCAGGGCGTGGAGGCACATGCCTGTAATTCTAGATACTTGGGAGGCTGAGGCAGGAGAATCGCTTGAACCCTGGCGGAGGTTGTGGTGAGCCAAGATTGTGCCATTGCACTCTAGCCTGGGCAACAAGAGCAAAACTCCATTTCAAAAAAATAATAATAATAATAATTCTGGAATAGCATTCAGTGTTCAAAAACCCAGTAATATTGGACAAACTATAAAGCTAAATCTTGATGGCATTATGCAAAATGAAATGAGCCAGCCACAAAAAGACAGAGATTGTATGAGGAGTTATTCTCTTAGAAACAAAGAACAGAGTGGTGTTTGCGAAGGGCTAGAAAACAGAAAAAATTGGGGTCAGGCATGGTGGTTCACACCTGTAATCCCAATCCCAGTACTTTGTGAGGCTGAGGCAGGTGGATCACCTAAGTTCAGGCGTTTGAAACCAGCCTGGTCAACATAATGAAACCCCATCTCTACTAAATATGCAAAAATTGGCCAGGCATGGTGGTGGGCAACTGTAATCTCAGTTACTCAGGAGGCTGGGGCACTAGAATTGCTTGAACCTGGAGGTGGAGGTTGCAATAAACCGAAATCGTGCCACTGTACTCCAGCATTGGTAGACAGCAAGACTCCATCTCCAAAAAGAAAGAAGAAAGAAAGAAGAAAGAAAGAAAGAAAGAAAAGAAAGA